AAATTGAATTCTTTTATCAATTATTTTTCCCCCTATTTTATTCACGGGTCTTATTTTGGTAATATATTAACTTAACCCATTAAAATGTATGAAGGGTTGAGAGTAGGAGTTTTCCCCAGGAGGACCACATTTTCAACAAACTACCAGTGATATAACTAGCATGATTTATCAAAGAAAATCATGGAGAGCTTATCATCATCTTACAGCTACAATTGATCAATTGACAAGCAATATTACTTTTCTTTACTTTTTTTTTTTTGCTTTATGCTTTTCTCTTTTGGCTTGTGAGTGTGTGGCTCTCAACAAGAGCAGAATTATGTGCGCGTGCATGAATGCTGATGACAAAAAGAACATGAATCCACTCAAAAGGAAAAGATCTATAACACTATCACCTCTAAAAGAATGATGCTGATTTCCTACAAGAAGACATTTTAACGCAAGCAAAGTGCAGACTGAAATTAATCATAGAATATCAACCAATAAAATCGAAGAGGCTGGCAACAGTGGCTGCTGCTACTGTCCAGTGGAAAAAACCTCACCTCAGCATCTTGTAATGGGATAAATTAGTGTAATCATATACTTTTTATTTTATTGTATTTTATTCATTCTCTTTTTGAATTGTTTGCTTGGAAAACAGAAGCATCAATAAAAAAAAAGACATCAAAGCTACTTTCTTCTTGAATATATATTCTTTTTCTCTGCACAACACAAGTCACGTATACCCAATAAAATGGGAAGGAGAGCATCCCGTTTCGAGTCATAGAATCCAGTCCTTTTTCACCACAACTTCTGTCTTCATGCCAAGTGTCGCATTACATTATTGTCAGATTCTATGGGCTCTCATATGCGTTTCCCGATCATAGTAACTACCTTTCCTTTTGACAAATAGCTAAAATGCATGGCAACAAAAATAACAGCTAAAAGCGACAGTTTCTACTAGCACAAGAACAGTAACAGTAGCCAAACAACATCAAACACAATTAGGATGGTAACATTGACAAGATTAATTTGGGGTTTGTCAGTCCCTCTTCTCATCAGTAGTGACAATCAGACGCAGATTCTGGCTTGTCTTCAGCCCTAGCGTCATGCTCCTCTTTGCCCTCAATCCTCTGCGGGATGCGAAACCCCGAGAAATCTCGGCTGCTAGATGCGAAACCCATGTCCTGAACTGATGGCGAAAGAGGACGAAACAGTGAGTGATGCATCTGGTGACCGGTTGCAGCAGCAACTGGAGCATTCCAGGCGCACATTGAAGGAGAATTACTGGACTGAAGGGGTTCCCTGTGAGTATAGAGTTGGCTATCGCCGAGCACTTCTTGCGGACTGAACACAAAACCTCCACTGCGATCACTGTTATCACCCATACTCCACGGTATCCCTGAGCTAACATCAAAGCCCATGTGCTCGGAAGCAGATAAGATATTAGGAGTCTGTCCCTGTGAAGACTGAAGCGAGAGACGGAGATCTTGATCTTGGCTGCTAGCTCGAGACAAGAGGTTCTGAGGGTTAAATTGGGTGATGGCATCAGAGTCAAGTGAAGGTGAAAGGAAAGGGGCAGTAGCAGCATTAGGTTGTTCTTCGAAATACGTTGTAGCGTTTGGATGCCAAGGGGGAAGTTCGTCAAGCTGATCGATTGCAGCCTTGGCATTCTTGATGAGCCAGTCAACAGCCTTGCTAGGCCGGTCATAGCCAAGACGGTCCTGCACGTCATAGAACTGGATGGCGGTGTGTGCGGATAAGCGTACTCTGCGATCTCTCACACCTTTGGCAGTGTAGACCTTGCTGTGTCGGTCTTTTCGGCCAGTTGCCCGCACAATGTGCCCGCCGTTGGCTGGGATGATCTTTCCGGAGATGCTTGATGGCTTCTTTGGTAGCGGTGCCTGCTGTAAGATGGAGCCCCGAATTTGGTTTTCATGCTGATGACACCCTTCATCTCCTTCTTGCTTTCCTCCTATTTCTCCGATATCTGTTGTTACAGGATGAAAATGAGTCTTCCAGGGATCCAGCTGACTTCTCAATCTCTTCTTCTCGCTCTCCTCTTCCAGCATAAGATTTAGCGGAGCGAGCATTGATGGGTTTTCTTTCCTCTAGCTAGCTATTGCTTCCTCAAAAGCTTGACCTTCTAAGTCCCACGATCTCATGACCAACACCACGTGAGGGAAGTGAAGCCTGGCTGCCACACAAGAACTATAATTAATTTCTTGCAAGCAATGAGTTTCTCCTTCTATTTAAAAGAGAAACTAAAGACTCATCTAAGCACTATCAAAGGAATCCCTTGTACTGGAGATGAAATAGGAAAAGGAAAAGAGGAAAAAGAAAAAAACGACTCTCTCTCCTTTCTTGATCCTGGTACCCCTCACTCTCTCTGACTTTCTACATCTGTATTTTTCTGAGCCTGGACACTGACTGTATGTAGCTTTTGTTGTGCGCAGCAGAAATTTCGGCAGCACATCTGGTGCACAACAAGAGAGTAGATTTTAACTAAATCCATGTTTCACAAAGGAAACAAGAACCGAAAGTGATATATCTCAATAAAATGGGATATACACTCTTCATCTCATCAGTTCTAGGACTGATTTATCGAGGGAACCTAAACAAGCTATTACAAATCACAGCAAGACAAGGAATTTTATGTAGTTCGACAAGTTGTCTACGTCCACGGGACAAGAAGAGGGGAGATTTACTATTAGAGAGAGAATACAAATAGGGTTTACAATCACACAAATTAAACCCTCGAACAAGCTATCAAATCTCACACAAATATCTCCCTCAAAAGGACAGCTGCCAAAAACCAGCCGAAAAGCCTCTGCGGTTTTCCCCTACACGCCCTTGCACGAAACCCTAGAAGAGACAACCGTATTTTTTCCCTCTGCACTTGCACCAAACACTAGGAGAAAAACAGGAACCCTATTTATAGCCTGGTGTACATAGCTATCGAGTGGGCCTGCCTTGTGCAAAGGAGAAATCTCCTCACGCACCTTATCTCTTCATGTGTGTGTGACCCCCACGCGCCAACATGAGAAACCCTTCTGCGTTCTCCCACGCTCGTGGCCCCCACGCGCTTTGAAAGCGCGTCACCTGATAGGGGCAATTCATTCATAACTCTCCACCTCGGTGAAGTTTCTCCCAAAACTGAGCCGACATCAACCAAACCAAATGTCTCACTTGTTGCGTCCAGTACGAAGTAAACCAAAATCACGACAGCGGACTCAATCCACAACAAGTCGAGATCCAAATGAGAATACGAACACTCTCCAAGCGTCAGTATCTACTCACCAAATCGGTTGCATTATGAATGACTGCCTACGTATCCTCTTGTTCAAGGAATCAAGTCTTCACGTAGTTCGCCCAAATGGCCCCCAAAGGCCCTCAATCTAATAGAAGAGTTCTTAACTCTTTACCAATAAATCTACAGCTGATAGCTCTCTCAATGGCCCCAAAATAAAACAAACCAAACACCTCTACTTGAGGTGAACCAATAGCCATATCCAAATCCAAACTATGTTCACTAGCTACACTCGAATCAAAAACCAACTCATCATCTGCATCCAAATCCAAATGATCCCTAAAGTGTGTCACCTCAGCTGGAATCCCTAACGATGCAGAATAATCTGGAGTATGTGGAGTAATCTCCACCCAACGTGAAGTAGCATCACCCTCCAACCGTTGGGGCATCCCAACGATCTGATCAACACTCTCCACCTGCTGAGAGTCAAATATGACACACCTGCTCAGAATAAAATCAGAGTCTCCCAACTGACAACCAAACGAGCCTTTGAATTCTAAATGTGCAATCGGATCAAATCTCACATCCTCGATGTGACCAAATGTTGGGCAACCAAACATCCGATACAACCCAAAATCTAAAGCAGGTTCACCAGATCCTAAATCTCTACACGTAGTAGTCGGTAACCTATGACTAAGATGACCCAAACATGTCGAAGCCCAAACACTAAAATCAATGCTCGACATCAAACGTCGATCATCCTCCAGTAAGGAATGATCCATAAAAACTATCATCTCATCTCGTCGCCCCATTGTTTCCTCTCCAATGAAGTATCTCAAATTACCATGAGCTTAGCACAAACGCAGAAAAGAACAACGGATTATCTTTCTGCCAATACACTTCCTCCAACTGTTGTTGACTTCTAGAACTTCACACTAACGGGACTTGGTTGTAACCACAAATGCCTAGAACAGTCACCAACATAGAAAACTATATACCTATTACCTCCCTATGATGCCCCATTGGATGGCTCCAAAATACCTGAATGAACACCCCTTAGAAGACCCCTCGATCGATGGATAGAAGTACCAAATTCCACCTCGGTCTTCTCGCTCATATCAATGTGTTCATAGGACTTCAAACTGTAGGTCAAAGCACTCCTCAACAAACAATGCACGATACCAATAACCAAATATCCTAGCCTCAAACAGCGTCACAGTCTAGCCAAATCCGAAGAAGTCGTCAGCTCTCTATCAATCACTGTGCTTCTAAGCAAATAATACAAGTTGCTCTTTCTAACGCCCTTCATCATAATCATGGACCCCAATGTGACTTTCAAACGTACATCCACTAAGGTCACCCTATAGACTGCTGCCTCCAAAACTCCAAGTAAAATGATATTCTTCTTTAATTGTGGAATGAACCTCACTTCACCCAACTCCCGAATCACCTCATCACACATCCTAATCTGAACGGTACCAATACCACTAATAGAGCATGCATATCCATTACCCATGAGCATGACATCCCCTCTTTCCAAATCCTGAAAGCTAGAGAACCAATCCCTCATAGGGCAAATGTGATAAGAAGCACCCGAATCCAACATCCACTCTGTAGAGTTGGTAACACAAACTGACGGTAATGAAGATAACGAATAGCCTGAAGAATCCAAATCTGAATAGTTGCCACTAGACTTAACAACATTTACCTCTGAAGCTTGTACAACTTTTCACTTATTCTTCCCGGCTCAATTTAACTTTGGGCATTCGGCTTTCCAATATCTATTCTCTTTATAAAAAGCACACTGGTTTTTACGAACTACAAAGTGTGCACCTATGAATTGCGACCTCCTACTACGGTTTGGACCACGGCCTTGAACTGCTAATGCATCTCCCGATGCCTTCTAGGAGGATTCGTCAACACTCTTCCTCAACTCATAATTCACCAACGCTGAGGTCACCTCTTTGTAATTAACAGTCGTTCTTTCATTAATCATAGTGAGAACAAAAGTATCATAATCATCCTCGGGCAACGAACACAAAAGTAGCATCGCTTTGTTTTCATCCTCAATCATGATATCCACATTGGTCATATCTAAAAGCAGCTTTGTGAAGTTATTAACATGCTCCCTAATAAAAACTCCACTCTTCATCTTAAACTAGTAAAACCTTTTCTTCAAGTGAAAACGATTCTCAATGCTCTTGGTAAGGTATTTCTCATTGAGTGTTTCCTATAATTTCTTCGCCGATGTCTCGTTCATCACATCATAAATAAGATCCGGCGTCAAGCATGACTGAATAACTCCACAAGCCCTACTGTTTAACTCCTTCCAAACCTTGTCCTCTATATCATTAGGTTTCTCTTGTAACTCAAGAGTCTCCTCCAAATTCTGTGTGTCCAACGCATCCATCACCTGGCATCTCTACAAACCAAAATTGATCTTATCGTCGAACTTCAAAACATCAATCTTTGTATTATTAATGCTCAGACTCTGTATCGCCTTCGTAAGATACGATCCTGATGCGCTTGTTTCACCCATATTGTAGATCTATCTCTTCAAATAAGAATCCTTCAGTGAATCCTTCGAACAAGCCCCAAGTCAAAACTTGGGCTCTGATACCACTTGTTGTGGCAGCGAAAATTTCGACAGCATCTCTGGTGCACAACAAAAGAGTAGATCTCAACTAAATCTCTGTTTCACAAAGGAAACAAGAACCGAAAGTGATATATCTTAACAAAGTAGGATATACACTCTTCCTCTCATCAGTTCTATGACTGACTTGTCGAGGGAACCTAAACAAGCTATTACAAATCACAGCAAGACAACGAATTTTACGTGGTTTGGCAAGTTGCCTACGTCCACGGGGCAAGGAGGGGGGAGATCTACTATTAGAGAGAGAGAATACAAATAAGATTTACAATCACACAAATTAAACCCTCAAATAAGCTCTCAAATCTCACACAAATATCTCCCTCAAAAGGACAACCACCAAAAACCAGCCGAAAAGCCTCCGCGATTTTCCCCTACACTTGCACCAAACCCTAGGAGAAAAATAGTAACCATATTTATAGCCTGGTGTACATAGCTATCGGGTGGGCCTGCCTTGTGCAAAGGAGAAATCTCCTCACGCGCCTTATCTCTTCACGTGAGTGTGGCCCCCACGCGCCAACATGAGAAACACTTCTGCGTTCTCCCACGCTCGTGGCCCCCACGCGCCTTGAAAGCGCGTCACCTGATAGGGGCAAGTCGTTCACAACTTTTGGCTTCATCCTCCTCTTTACTGCTTACTAGCTTCAGCTATTAATAGAAAACCGCGCAACCTAGATGAAAAAAACCGTTTGGATTCTTCCATATACCAACAAATACATCAAACATAGAATACAAGGCAGAAACTGGCAATCATAAGTGAAATACTTGTTAGAAGGCTAACACAGCTTGCCACCTAACTGGTTTAAGTGTAATATGTAGCTTAAGATTGGAACCACACAAGTTGACACATTACGCTCATTTGACTTGTGTTGTGCCTATAACTGTTAGTTTTTCCTTCTTTTTTCCTACATTTTTGCCATCTACTGGATTGGATCAAATTTGGAAAACACTATTAAATTTGGCCTAGATATGAACAAACACCAATTCAAAAAACTTGTGGGGTCAATTGATTACATCTTTCACCATTACTGTTAGAGGATGAAAGCCTAATAATGACACGGACTTGCCAATTAAATAAAGAACTAAAGCCGAAGTGGATCATAATAGGGGTGCTAAAGCTTATCTGTATCCGATAAAATATCTGTAACTGTATCCATTATGATACAGATATGATTACTTAAATCAGTAACCAATAGAATGTGGTGACGGATATGGTTTTGTGGTGAAATATCTGGATCCATATCCGAAATATCTGGATCATGATACTGTTAGGATAGTTTTAATCCTTTAATTATGGATTTGAGGTTAATTTTGATGATCAAAATGTCAAATATTAGCTTTTCAGATATAATGAACATGTTAGTAAACTCTTTTGTGCCACATGAACTATATTTTTTTTCCAATAGTATCCATATTTCTCATATCTGTTTTATATCCGCATGTATATCCGTATCCGTATCCGATTTTAATGGATATGGATATGAAT